AGTAGGACATCCAGGCCAGATGTCAGATTCCTATCTGTTTTTCAAGTCATCTCATTGTTTTCACTTTTCTGTGGTACCTCATTTAGATACGAGATCTAATTTCTTTTTAAAAAAAAAAAAAAAGAAAAAGAGAAAAGTTGTCTTTGAACCATGCAGTTGTTCTAAATATCATTGTAGTTCTTGATGTGAACTTTACCAGGATGTTCAACACTCTGATATTTAACATTACTCAGGGGAAGGTAGTATTGTTGTTGGCAACTAAATGAATTTTTACATCCTCTTCTCTCCTGAATTGAATAGGTAAATTGAAGGCTGTCTGTTCTTCTTGTGCATGCATTTTACAAGCTTACTACCCACAGACATTTTCTTTCTCACTTATGATCTAAGTGCTGTAGTTTTACTATGTTCATTTTTATGAATAGAACAGGATTGGGTTGAATCATCAGTCTTCCTTCAGGGATGATACTGAAATCTGCTTTACATTTTAAGTGCAAGCAGTTCCTAATACTTCTCCTGGAATCAACTGTTCCTTTTTACATCTCCTATTTCTGTGTAGGTGCACGTTAGATGCCTAATAATTTTTAGTTTTGGGGTAAAGCTCTTATACCATGTTAAAAGATATAAAGGAACAAAATGGGAATTAAATTTACTAAATTAGAAAAGCCACAAGATGGCATCAAATTGTGAACTCTATCCTAAATTTTTTTAAAGGTCAAAATTTTACAAATTTTGGGACTACCTAGAAACCAGTTGGAGGAGTGTAAGGAGATAGTCTGCAGGTTTGGGCGTGTTTCTTCCTCCTCTATAATGTGTAGCTTGCAAAGGAGCTTCCGTGAGCTGCAGCTTTTCACTTATGCTTCAGCCTGTGTATATATAATGTATGATGTGATTTATGTTAAGGAAGTTTCTGTTTTCAGCGTGAAATGAGTAAAAAATCTGAACTGCGATTTGTAATGATCTTTCAGGGTACACAAAAATGCCAGGTACCCTTAAGCTGAGCCCAGTTAAATGATAATCACAGATTTTACAAGTTAAAACAGATTTCTTTTATGTAAAGAGAACATTGCCAGGTGTTTTGAGTGGTATTACAAAAATTAACATTGGTGAACGAAATACACCTAGATATGAACAAAAAATGTAAACTTAATATTAGATATTTAGTAAATATTGATAAATGTTTAGTAAAGATTTAGTGTCTGGAAGATTATTAAAGTCTCAGATAATTCCAATAATTTTTTTCCTCATTACAACACATTGAGGATACAGTATATTGAGGTGGGGATAAGATGCAAGTTATTTAGGAAAGATTCTTCACTTCTGTAAATTCTTCCTATAATGCAGAAGTGGTTAAATGGAAATAAGTGTCCGTATAAAGGGAAGGTGAAGGGGGTCAGTAAGCTACATACGAAATGGTGTGGTTTTAAGAGACTTTTCATAGTGTACTTGGGACTTCTCAAATGCACCTGAAGGCAGCTCTGCCACTAAATATATTAGAGCATGTGGTAGTTTCTGAGGTTTTGAGACAAAGATGAACTGGGCTGAAACTATGCAAAAAATGAGAGACCGATAGACCATACTACAAGTTTAATTACGAGAGCATGCAGTAAGAACAGAGGTCAGTTATCCTTCAGGATGCGGGATTTTTCTTTATTGTATGATCGACTCTCTATGGAAATCTTGAATATTCCACATATGCCAACCTGTCCTTGGTTAATACCCCTGCGTGGTTTTGTAAAACCAGTGATTTTTGGTGTTTAGAGGTAGGACAACATCTGCATGGCAGAGAACATGCACATTAAGTAGATGGTTTGTGAATGTCCAGCACAGTAGGAACTATTGTGACTGAAAGAGTGACTTGCCCTGCTGAGGAGAGGCCCYGTGGTATCTGGGAAGGGTTCAGGGGGATCGGGTGGTATTAGGTTTTCCGTATCTATTTGCCGGATTTTGTTCCGTAGCAGCTTGTTCCACTTGAATGATTAAGCACTCATATATTAAATGTAAATCCTGAGTTAACTATATATATCTCGCACGGTAGATTAGCGGAACTAAGCTAGGCAACATGTTCTTGATTAAAATATTGTGTAAAGTGGTGGTCTTAAAGAAGATTTGTATTTTTCAAATTACATGGGTTTTGTTACTAAATTAGTTTGAATCCATGAATATTCATAATGTGCTTCTTAACAGTCTAGAACAACTTATGCATAAGAATTAGGTATGTCGTCTTTGAGCAAAACTGCAAAGTGTTCAGAAACTTTGAGAAAATGAATGCTCCTTAAATAGGCAAGCAGTGATTTCTGCTCCTTCTGATGCTCCGGCTCCAGCTGCACAAACAAAAGCTGCTCTATGACAAATTGGAGTTTGCATTTGCAGCCCGCTGGTTACAGAAGAGCAACTTTGACATTCGCAGTTCTGCACGAGGCTATCGGAAATATCTCCTCACRCAAACACGGAGCGAGAAGCGGCTGTCGGCACGAGGAGCCGTCGCGTGCAAATGAGCAGCCGCCCCAGAACAGGCTGCAAATGAACATCTGAGCAGCAGCACCTGCCTGGCGGGGCCGCCTCAGTCAGCCTCCCCACTGGCCCCGGCAGGTTTTACTTGTTTTCTCCGTTCTGAGAGAAATTGTGTTTTGTTCATTTATAACCCTACCTGTGGTCATTGAAAATATTGGAGAGCGCTGCTCTTGTCAGGCTACCAGTAGTGCTGATGTGGTGGTGAAGGTCGCTGGCTTCTCTAAAGAGGGAAAAGACAAGGGGTAAATGGGCCGCGCGGGAAGGAGCCTGCGGGAGGGTTTTGTTTCAGTACGTGGCAGTAAATCCCATCTCTGCCAAGCCTGAGCACGGCTGCTGTCGCGACTGGGAGTCAGCGTAAAAGCCACGTCCTGACTGTGATGCACAAACCAAAATTTGCAGCCCCCTCGGAACGTGGTCTGTGGAAACAGGGCGCACAAATAGCAAGGAGATGGCAGGCATGACCAAGGTCGCTGTCCCTTGTACTGTCCTCTTCGAGTAAGTGGATTTGCTGCAAGTGATCTGATATTTTCATTGATGTTTGTAGTTTTTAGCCAGTTGAAATGTTCCCAGAGCCCTGCCTTTTCCTGGCAGGAGCTGGTGATGAGTTTGCCCAGGAATCTCCTGAGAAGGGAAACCTCAGAGGAAAGTGAAGGGAAGCTCCCAAACAGATGGTCTGAAAATTGTTTCATTGGGTAAGATCTTTCTAGTCTGCTGCTTTGGGGATACGGTGGCGAGAAAGCACCCGAGACCAAACCACGAGTGGGTCACCTGGAACTTGGAGCAAATCTTGGGTGCCACAAAGCTTTCCGGGGTGCAGAAAACTCTAGGAGACTTTAGAGTCGTAAGAAGTTTGATTTCTTCAGCTTGCTGTTTTTCTTTCTGTTCCATAAAGTGCTGTGCCTTATTTTTTTAAGGAAATATTAAGGAGGGAATTCATGGTGCTGCTTCAAAATGTATAAGTAATGTGCACTCGATGCAATCTTATCACACAGAAAATTATATTTTCTGTATAGAAACAGATGCAAAATGCCTCATGTCCATGAACAGAGGAAGGATCTTGTTTCAGATAATTGCACTTTCTTGGGCCCAGGGCTTCTGCATGCATGGCCTGCYGCTCTTCCCCCACAGTGTTGGCCTTGGATTTTTGTCATTTTCTTTCTGAGAAATTTCTATGAAAGGTCAATGGCAAAAATACCTCTTTTTTTTTAATCTGTATGCAGTTTTTGTTTTCTTTAAAGTCTTGAAGTAACCACTTGTGACGCAGGCAGCAGCATAGGTACTGCTATTTTAACTGTTAGGAAATAGAAACAGCAGAAGCTGGGACTAAAATGTTTCCTGAAATGAGAGGTTAAATCTGTGGTTTGAAGGTTGATAGGAGGGTGCTGATTTTAAATGTCTCTGAAGCTGCTGACTGAAGGAAAGGCTTACTCCAACCTGCTGTAAGTAATGGGCTGGTGTGGGGGGAGGCCAAGGAGCAGAGAGAGATTTTGAGTAAATTCCTGGTTTCTARGCACTTGACAAGCGATACCCTCCTCTGTTTGTGCTGCCCAGTTCTTAAGATAAAGATCGAGTTTTAACTTTCCTGGTGGAAACTTGGAAGCAGTTTCTTTAAGGGTTATTTAAATCATGGAACCTGAGGCTCCTTGCGCGGCCGCCTGCCCGCGTGGGCTCCCCCCGAGCTGCTCGGCTCTCAGCCTGGCATCTCTCACCTCCCGAGCGGGTTGCACTGTAATTCTCACATGAATTGACAGGTTTTGCGTCCAGAAGTTTAATCGTCTTTGCAACTGYAACTGGAATATATATGTATTTTTTACAATGTTAGTAGTAGACTTTACATTCAGTAAAAGTTCACAAAACCCCCTGAGAATAGGTCCTCTTTTTTGCAGGAGTTTTCAGGTTGCTTTTGGATGCAGACCGGTTGACTTGGCTTTTCTTGTGGCCTGCAAGTTGCCTCTGCAGAGCTCACTCCAAGGAAGTCCTGCGGGTCTTTTGTTTGCTCCATTAGGGTAATTGGATAAGGCGGGAGCAGAACTTCTTATCGTGCAGGCTATTTCTAGGTACTGAACCCTTAGAGATAGGAACACACTGCAACTTTCTGCTCCTCTTCTCCACCCGGAGCATAAACTCATCTTGTCTGGAAATGTTTATAGCCAGTTGCTCGCAGATACCTGTTACCTCTTGGTTCCAAGCAATTGAGGCCAAAATGAAGCAATAGTGTGTATTTGAACAAATCATAATAAATTTCTCTGAGTACAGGATGAAAAATGCTGAATGGCATGTGATGCTTAAAAATGAAACCTGTAAAAGCTTATCAGGTTGTCTTTCCTGTGGCAGGCTTTTAAAACAGTCTGTTTAAAAAAAAAAGGAAAAAAAGTGTTTTGTGTGAACTCTGGATGGAAAGATACTGTCCTCAGTCTTATGCTGTTCCTTTGGAAAGGGGTGTACCTGGCAAGAAGGCTGTTCATGTTGCTCCTTCTCTCTTTCAACAGGAAGGTGCATCTGCCCGAAAGACCCAGACTCCGGCAGCGCAGCCCGTCCCGCGGCCAGGTGAGGTAACGTCCTGCTCTGCACGTGTGAGCTTCACAGACCTTGTACCTGTGTCTGGAGCTGAAGAACAGGATGGGAGTCATTTGTTTATGGCCTTGAATTGTATTTATTTGAAATGAGAAATAACTGATTTGGTTAATGTTTTATCCTGCATGGTTTCAGTACTGAAATGGTCCAAGGTCGGACCTTGGTCTCACTCTGAGCTGCTGCYAGCTGAGGGTTCCCAGCAGCTGGATTAGAGTCAGACTCCCTTCTTTATCAGCATGGAGCCTCGCAAGTGCCAGGAGCTGAAAGGCTTTGGAAATCCAGCTGTTTGCCATGCTGAGCAGCGTGGATCTCCCTTCACCTGAAGAAAGGCTAAAACCCTGAAACTTACGGACTTCTATTTATTCTTTTTTCCCTGCTTGTATTTGATATCCATTTGGAAGACTCCTTGTGAGCTGCTGAGGAACAGTGTTAGAAAGCTTCCCAGAAGTGCTSCGAGCATTCGTGACAGGGCTTATTACTTCTACTGGCATCAGTTGAATTAATGCCAGTTAGTGATAAATAGCACTTAAGGTCTTCAGATTAGATCAGGTACCTGTTGTGGTATGCACAGCCCAAATATATAGTGAGAGATAATTAATGCCCTAAGGAAAGACAGGCTATGCAGCAAAACTAATTTCAGAAAGAAATGCATTATTACTTCTATTATCAATATATCTTAAATCATTTATATTTCTCTTAATAAACAATTGCCATTACTCCTTCCCACTTCTTATTAAAAAGGACCCACATTTGAGATATTTGTAATGGGTCTAGAATCTTAAACTGTTTTAAAATCTCAGTCTAGTTGATTTTAGCTGCCAAGTCAATTTTGGACATCAAGTTGAGYCTCAGGTTGAGGTCAGAGATGTAACGGTGCTTTGTCTCACTTGAATGAAAAACCCATAAAAAGGTGTTTGGAAAGAATGCAAGAGTGTGGACAATATATGAGGGGATGCATGCTAGCAAACAACTGTGTGGATATCTGCTCTCAGTCTATACACTAAGAGGTTTTGTTTTGGTAGGAGAAAGTCTCAAGCAAAAGCTACTATTTAAGGACAAGGAGGTTATTGCTGTTATGAAGGTGCTTAAAAGGTATTTTTTGTCTTAAATAAAATACCCTTTYAAAATTAACATAGAAGCCTCRCTGAAGTGCTTTGTGATCTTGTTTAGTCTAAGCTCAGTGAGTGCCTGCCCTGCTGATTTRTTGAGATATGCTAGTAGGATTTAATGCTAAGACTTAGTCTTGTAAAAAGAGCCCTCCCCAAAAGTCTGTTTTCCTGCTGAATGTGCTCAGCCTGCCCGGCTGCTGTTGTGAACGGATTCTTCTGTTCGGTTATTTTGGTGCTGGAAAGGTCATGCTGCCTGTCACATTCATCTCCCTAGCTCTGTTGAGCATAATAATGCACCTGGAGTTGACAGACAGCAATGAAAGGGTAGACATGGCGAGACCAGAAATCTGACTGAATTGTCACAGGTCCCTGCTTTTAGCTCTGACTTCGTGTCCCTTCSTGGCAGAAGTGGGGTTTTGTACCTTATATGAGTTATACTGGTACTGGGCTTCTCTAAGGCCAGTCTCATCTCGTGTCTCATCTCCATATTGTAACTGAAGAGAGGCACAGTGTGAAGGAAGTGTGTACTATTTAAACACTATTGCAAAGAAAAGAATATCTTCCTGTTCTAGAATATTTTTGGTTTTGAAAYGTTTAAAATATTGAACGTATTTAAACATGAGTTCTGCAAGAGGATCCTATTTTGTACATAGATGCATTAGACAAAACAAAATTACAGTACTGATTTGAAAAATAATCATTTAGGTGCACCTTTTATTTCAAGTTTTTGTACGCCTGTCTRGAGTAGCTGATTTTCTGCTAACTTCTAACAATGTGTCAGTGCAACTCTCAGACTTCCTAGAAATTCTTTCTTCAGGGCAGCTGATGCTGTCCATATTTTGGTCTGTATATTGGTATATTTTTCCAAGAAAGATATATAGATATCCAACTTCAAGAAAAAGAAAAACACTGGGCAGGTAAAGTTCATGTAGTTAATATAATGTTACCGATTATATCTGTGCATCTGACAGTGGCAGGAAAAGATAATTAAGGGTATGGTCTCTGTATTTCCACAATGGCAACTGTGTGGTGTGAATACTTATACTGTTCTAGACAATTTCTGAAGCAGTTGGTCATAAATAAACATGAGCAAGTTGGTGTTGGAAGTCAATTAATGAAATTTGTCATGCGTAGTAGCAGTTCAGACTTAAGATAGAGTGTGCATCAATCTTTCTACTACTCACCATTTTCTAATTTTTTTAATTAGGGTAAAAATGTATGATGAGAATTACTAAGCACAGCAGTTAAGTTAGGAGTCCTGAAAAGTCTGTTTAAAACAATGAGCCATGGAGTGCTTTATTTGGAAGAAGGCAAGTTATGCTTCATTCTGATGCAATTGGTGAAGAAGCGTTTCCAACTTTGGACTGAAGTAACCCTCATAKTGTGGAGTTCACTGGACTTGGAAACCTGAAATCAAAACATTTAGTTTAAAAATTGAGAGGGGGGAAAAAAAAAGGTAAAAGACAAGTTGCAAATATTCATGTTGGGGGAATCATTTATTTTCAAGGAAATTCTAGTTGAAACTCATTTAAGAAAGGGCAGTCTAAAGCCAATGTGAGTATGGAGGTCATTCAGATTTTGATTTTAACAAGTTCCGTGTATATTAATAGGTAACAAAATTCTAAGGTTTTTATCCACAGTAAAAGTCTTAATGGAAAGATGAGAGTCCTGAAAGACTATTTTGTGCAACAATCTTCATGTTGAGTCAACACTATTGAGTTCCAAAGTCTACAAGCACCTTGGTGTTCTAAGTGCAATATTGGCTAGTGTTAGTGATGCAGCCTGTCGGTGTGCACGGAGGAAAATGGCTAGTTWCAGTAAAAGCAGGTGGGTTTGACCCAACTCAACTTACTGTTTACAGACAGAAGCTTTTCATTTTCTAAAAACTGCAGCCCCAATCACAAATCCTTTCTTCARCTTGAGAAACTGCATCTGTATAAACTGTCTGTTTACTGTAATGACTCCTCTGTTCTTTCTTGGGAGTGAAAACCGTGAAATGTTGCCTTGTGGCAACATCTGTGTTATGTATTAGTCATTCTGCTATAATTTCTGTTTTTCTGTTTTTTTCTTTTTCCAGTTTCTCAAGCAAGACCACCTCCAAATCAGAAAAAAGGTGAGTCATTTTTAGTTCTGTTCTTCTTATTTCTGTGCGAGATGGTTGTGCTCTGTCTTTTGCTGGACAGCAGGTGACAATATGAGGCAGCAGTGTCCTGCAAGCAGCAAAGCAGCATTGTGTTTGGCTAAATATGGGTCACTGCCCCAAACAGCATTAGAGTCTGGAGGCTCCAGATACAGGAGTACTTTTTTCTCTTYTTTTTCCTCTTCCCCTTTTCCCTGAATGAAGATTTCCAATTATGGAGCACATTTACTACACCTTTTAATTATTTTCCATTACTTTTGGCCTGTAAAGCAAGTGTTCTATTTTGTTTTTGAAGTAAGGCTCATTTTGTAACAGGCAAATGTAACTTGATTATTTTTACAGGATCTCGAACTCCCATAATCATTATTCCAGCAGCCACCACCTCTTTAATAACAATGCTTAATGCAAAGGACCTTCTGCAAGATCTCAAGTAAGTAGCTGATTAGAACGTACTGTATAAAAGACTGTCTTCAGATGCAAAAGTATACCTAGAACATAATTAAATAAGGAGTATATACTGTCTCATGACAAACTAAATTTTAAAAACTAGAGTATAAAGGAAACAYATTCTTCTTGAGTAGAAAGGGAAAAAACAGTGTTTTCAGAAGGGTCTTTTTTTTTTTTTTTCCACAATTGTGACCTCTCAGCCCAGCAGGCTGGGAAGAAGGATGTACTGTGCCAGCTTCTAATAGCTGTAGTGATTTTCACTTATGTAACATCCGTGCACACATGCCAAATCTGTCCTTGCCTATTTTACTGTGACCTCTCTGGAACTGCAGTCTCACAGTTGTCAACATGATGGAGACTGTGGTCTTGTTTAAACAATTTTAAACAATTTTTGCCTGGCAATTGTTGGTAAATGCMGGGCTCCATTCTGAAGCGATGAGCCTTTTCTTTGAAGTTTGCATACAACAAAGGTAAGCCTAGAGTATTTTGAGCATTAAAGACATTAAGAATTGATTGTGAATATCATTATATTGATGGATATATATTACATATTGATCATACTAATTTAGTCAAAAGAGAAGGCCAGTCCTTGTATAGCAAAGAATGAGAGTCAGGAAAATAACAACAGAAGGTTAAAGGGACAGGGGGTGCACTGACGTGTCCCTGACATATGGGCCTGTGCATGGGGTGTGCCTAACATGCATGAAGGGCAAGAGTCAAGAGGAAAGGGCAAGAGATGTTAATGAATCAAAGGAGCAGTAACAGAATTCAGAGAGAAAAAATTGAACTTAGCCATGACAGTTCTGGCACTTCAGAAATTGTGCCATGTGCCCTAAAGGTTTCACATTCTTCAGTGGTATGGTTGRTATAGCAATGGCTGCAGGGCTTGTTTTTGCTGTCATGGCATGCGGAGTTTATAACTATCTTTAGAACTAGTCTTTAATACTACAGTCCAATAAAAATACTGGGGGAGTGGACACTATAAAAATACATTTCAAGTTGTAAACACAAATGAATGTCTGTGAYGATGAACTCAATTACTATCCCGTTTTGGACTTGCTTTCTTCTCTGTTTGCACATGTTCAGCRTGCCTGAGTTGGAAGAATGTGTTGCCCTGACCTCAATGCAGATGCTTTAAAGCTGGTGCGAGTGATTGGTGCAGAGTTCAGAGCTTAGTCATGAGCAGCTGTGGCAGTTCAGTGGATAGTGTCTTACCAATTACTTCCCTTAATTTGATCTTGTTCAATCACTTACCTAAACCTTACAAAAAGTACCTGCTGCCTCTCTAAAGTGAGTGAGAACACTATATTTTTGCTGTTCTCACTTCACCACTAAAAGAGAGAATTGTTTGTTTTCCAACTTATTTGGAACTTCCAACTTACAGGAGAAGGAATGCTAAATATATGTGAGCTGGAGAAGAGGGTTGTCCCTTACATGGGTCTTTATTTTGACCAGATTTGGCAGTAGCAATCATAGAAACAACCGAAAAAACGTAACTGTTGCACAATCACGTTTCCAAAGTGTTCCTGCTCTGTTGGGTGGTTAGAAAAGGTGCCAGTTACTATTTTTTCGCAAATTCGTGGTCGTGTGTGTGTGTTGGGGAGGGAGGATGTTTTTCTACAATGCTAAAATTTSTTGAGTTTTGTTTTTTTTAGGTTCTGGTAGGGATGAGATAAGCCTTTGCTATGTGTAATCATACAGTAATCTCTACCTATTTTTAATTCTGTAGCACACTACTWTTCTTATACTTCTAGAGTAGATGACTGTTTTTCTCCAAAATCTTGGAACTACGATGATGCACTTTAAAAACATTCTATACATTGTTACTTGTTCTTGTCCTCAATGTGTGTGTGTGTATGTATATATATCTCTATGTAAACGTTTTCTTCATTGCTTTTTTTGCAAGAATTATTTTCCCTTTGTTGGAAACTTGTAAATTGTAGCATTTTTTCTCAGAACACTCAGGTATCGATACCCAGGACTTTCTGTCCAGGAGAAASGCATGCAAATACATTCTGCTTTTCATAGTGATTAAAGCCAAAGTCACTGCAGTCTGGGAGATAAAGCCCAAAGGCAATATATTTGGTTGTTTCTCTCATGTAATATAGTTTCCAGCTGACTGTAAAATGAAGAGAAACTGGCAATAACTTAGTGCTGACATGAGTTCTTAATCACAGGAACTTTAAAACTTGCAGTAGGATTAAGGATGCCTGTATGAGCCAAATTCACGGATGGCTTAGATGTGTTACATTGTGGTGAAATGTTAAGTGTCTTCCAGAAGAGTAATGTTGCATCTTAGTATCCATGTTTGTCCAAATTGGAGGAGATGGTTAAATTACTGCATCATTGTAGAATGTGTCTGCCTCTTTGTATCTATTTAGAAATGAAATTCAAAAATGTGACCTTTAGATTGTGGTTTGTATGAATATTTTATTAGGACTATAGTGTATAATAAAAACTTCCATATTCTGTAAGAATTTGTTGCTAAGCAGTGGAGGGAACATGTATTAAAGAAAAATATTCTCCTTGCTGATCACCATCCTGTYGTTTGAGTTGGAAAGATTTTTGGTAGTTTTAGAAATGTGGATGGGTTGGATTTTTTGTGTTGTGGATTTTGGTTTTYTTGTGTGTGGTTTTGCCCCCCTCCCTTTTTTAAAACCCTCATTTTTCAGTCCTGACCCCTATTTCCCTTAATTCTGATGAGCAATGAGGAAAATCTCAAATGGATGTCTTAAAAGCTCAAAGAAGATCAAACAAATCCTCTTCTCTATGCAGGGTTATGTAATACAGTTCCTATCTGTTAATATTGGCAGAACAAGGCTTCTAATTTCTTGGTGAGAAAGACCTTYAGGTATAATCATGATTAAAGTTGCACCTAACCTCAGAGGTCTTAAATAATTAACCTTACGAGAAAAAATTGATTTCCAGTTTAATGCTATGGCAGATAAATTTCATTTTTCCCAAGTAGTACAACATTGCACTGTTGGGTGTAGCACCTAAATGTTCATGTCACCTAGAYGTGATAGATTAAATAGGTAAATATATTAATTTGGTTTTAGTTGTTGAAATTTGCATTGCAGAAATGTATGCCTTAATTTTTTAAATAATATTCTAGATGGCCTAAGCAAACTTTTTTTCCAAAGTGTCCTATATGCTTTTCTGCGGTTATATTTTCTTCTGAACAATCTAGTTATAAATCTGTGAGACAGATGAGTAAAATTTAAGTTGTAGCTTTGACTTTTGCATGYGTAATGTTTTTCTGTTATTTGCCATACCACTTAATTTTAATGCACAATTTGTAGTTGTTTTCAGTTTTTTGCCTTTCCCAGTGCAGTTACCTGTAGACACAGGCACATGTATAAAATTGGTGTTGCCTTATTTCTTACTGTTTTTGAAATGACCTTAAATCATGAAGGTTATGTGTTATATTTAATTTAGGAAAGTTAAGATAGTTTGACTTGAAGATTTATTAGCAATTTCTACATTCTGCTTAAAAATATGATAATGCATCTGATTTATTTTCCAAAATACAATTTTCTCATTGCATGCAAAATGTTATTTTCAAGGTAGGGAACTCGAAATATAAAGATCTGTATTTTATTTGGTAGTCGTATCTTAAGCATTTATTTCCATCCCTACAAGATCCCGTATGACTTGAGAATCATGTTATGCCTACCTGCCAAGTATAATTGAAGTATCAGGGAAACTAGTAAGCAAGTAAATACATTCAGAACTTCAGTTTCTTTTTTTCTGTGTTAAGAATTCATCTGAGTAACCAGATGAATCATCTGGTTTTGTAAAGTAATCTTCATTTAAAAAATAAAATGAAACAAAACAAAAAAACCCTTAATCCCTTTTTGATGAAAAAACATCTTCTGTACAAGGCTTTTTTTAGTGTCCCAGAGTACCCTTGATCGTGGAAAAGAATGAGCTGTTGCCACCCAGCAACTGCTTGTGTGCTGGTTGCACCTTAGGGGTTAAGGAGGGTCAAGCACGATACCCGGCTGTAGTTTTGAGGTACAAAGGACCTTTTAGTGTGCTGACGAAGGCTTTTGAATGTTATTTTTGCCTTTTTGTCTGGGAGGCTGAGCATGTTGCAAATGAGACATCTTCTGCAAGCGTTGCCAGTAATGCAAACTTCCAATAAAGCTGTTACTTTTCCTGTTGATTACGTCAGATAAATCACTTTGTCTACTGAACATATCTTTATTCCCAAAGGTTTGTACCGTCGGATGAGAAGAAGAAACAAGGCTGTCAGCGAGAAAATGAAACTCTAATACAGAGAAGGAAGGACCAAATTCAGCCGGGAGGAACGACTGTCAGCGTTACTGTACCGTATCGAGTAGTAGACCAACCTCTGAAACTTATGCCACAAGACTGGTAAAAGCAGTTATTGCCATAGGAAAATTTCTTCACTGGGAGAACACGGAACTTGGGAGGGGGCTAATAAGATTATGTTGACCAGCATRGAAAGAGAACATCCGTATATAAGGGTAGATAAGAGAAAGCTGTCATCAGCTTCTGTCTGTAGCAAAATAGCGTACAAGTCTACTTCTTGAAGGATGTTGCAGAGTGCTTATGCTAAGCACTGTGTTTTACACTTGTGTGTAAAATTATCACATTTTTTACCAAGAGAAATTATGCTAAGGTACTCTGTTTTGCACTTAACATTGTCACAGGAGTAAAGACAAGTGTTTCCTTRTAAGAGAGCATAAAAGGTCAAGGCTGCCCTCATCTCTTTCCGTGTTGGCAGGGATCGTGTGGTGGCAGTGTTTGTCCAGGGGCCTGCTTGGCAATTCAAAGGTTGGCCTTGGCTGTTGCCTGACGGATCACCGGTTGATATCTTTGCAAAAAGTAAGTTTGTTTTAGTGATTTGGTCATTATTTTCTTCTGAGGTTTTGTTTTGTTTTTCCCAAGTTGATGCCCATGGGTGATCTGTACTAGGATGCTTGCGGAGGAACAGAGAGGACATAGGCCCTAGCAGCTGGTAATCCTCATTCATGCCCTTGGTAACTGTTCGGTTTTCTTCTATGGAGGCTCAGGGAAACCTCATTTTCCCACAGAGCTGTAGTCTCTGCCAGAGGTTTTGAAGTAGATTGTGTTTAAATTTCCTTTCCAAGCTTCTGAAGCAGGCAAAAAGATTGTGTATTTTAACACTTCAGAGAGAACAGGTTTGCAGGCTGTCTTCACATTTTGCCACAGAGGATTAATCAGCTATTATTTTAAGTTTGTTTTACGAATGTGATGTGGTACCTGACAGAATCTTGGATTTCTAAGGTCAAATTGTGTGCTACGCTTTGCTACTAAGGTGCAAGCTAAATGTACTGTATTGAATTGAGCGGGTTTTTGAGGTGCTCTGATCTAACCCGGTATTCTTGGAGCTGGCGTAATTCCTTCCACAAGTTACCAGGCAAGTCTTCTGACAGTAGCATGTGCAGTAGTATCCAAAGAGAGTAAAAGCTCCTGCTCTGTGTTGCTTTCCTTCATTGTGAAGCTACCATAGGAAGGGGACCTTTTACCTCACATGTGGTGTCCAGTGTTTTCTGAGCTGTAGATTAAAAGAAAAGCACACGTGCTCTGAAAACCTTAGTTCAGTCAGCACGGCGAGGAAGCGAGATTGATTGGCTTTTATGTATTTACCTATTTGGTTCGTGAAGTAGGAGCTGAAAAGTCAGAYTGAAGGTTAAGAATATGTTTGTGAATGAGAAAGTAGATTTAGRCGCTTAAGAGGGAGTGAGGCGGAGGGAGGAGGTGAAAGAGCCTGCGAGCTAAAATGAAAGAAAAACCACAACAGGGGAGAATTTAACAACAAAGGCTCCTGAAAGAAGAAAACACTTCAGAATGAAGAAGCAGAGAAACTGGAAATGGTGAAAAGCAGAATCAAGAACAGCCATGTTAAATATTTAAGTTCCAGCCAGTAGTTGCCAATTAGTTCCTATTAATTTTGGCCTTATGTATGTACACATTTATAGACAGCTGTAGGAATTGTGTTGCCAAGCTTTGGCAGCATGCTAGATGTCATGGCTTTAAAAAGAAAAAGAAAAAAAAAAAAAAAGCCAAAATCAAGACTCTATCCTGAATTGCTCAGTCTGAAGGTCCAGACTTACATTTGCAAGTGAAAGAAGAACCGCTCTCTTCTTACCTGGCTCACAAAGGTACATTGAAATGCACTTTAGATTTAGAAGTGCTTTCAGTTGCACTAAAGATAGATATCTAAAAGAATATTTTCCTGATAAGAGCATCTCTAGGGCTTTCCCTAATGACTCAGAATAAAGCTAATGTAAGTGGAGAGAGCAGAGGCAGTGTCAGCCTGCTTGTGTTTGTATACTCTTTCCCAGAGTTATCACTTAGGCCATATTTGCTGTCTTTGGTTGGTCCTTATCTAAATACAGGTTTGGGCTTCTACAGAAGTCCCCTGTTTTATCTGCAGTTTGCTGTTCTTTGKGTAAGCAGCTAGGTAAGTGGTGAATAGCAAAAATTCAAAGCTTATTTGGGTTAAAATAAGATAGCTACCATAAAGAATTTCTTCATGAAACTTGTATTAGCCCAAAGTCTGTCAAATTGGTTATAATTTTTTTCAACTGCTGTATCACATAACATTTTGTTAGTGGAATCTCTAAATCATTCTCCTTGGTTCTGTTCCAGCTGGACTGATTATTTAATGTTCATAGAACAAACAAGGTTTTTAACCTTTGCATCTGCAACTGAATATTTCAAATTAAATCTTGAATTAGGTCACTTTAATGAACAAATATTGAATCTGAATACCATGTAAAAGGTCTTGCTACTAGAACATATTAGTGAGCTTTAATACTGATTTTTCAAAGAAAACATGTTTGAAATGGCCATTTCTTATTCTTCTGGAATCTCTGCATGTAAAAATAGGGATGCCTTGTTAAAACTGTAATAGCACACTGTAAGAGCTAGATTTTGGTCACCAAGAGCTATATTTCATTCCGTACCCTTTATTAAATAGCAGACTTTGTTGAGAGACAGTCTTATTTTATTTATTCTTACACGGTATGCTGGAAAGAAAGGGTTTTCACTGTGAAATAATTAAGCAATATACATTTATCTAATTATGCTCCAAATGTTTTGCTGCTTCCTGTAGTTAAAGCTTTCCATCTCAAGTACGACGAAGTGCGCCTGGATCCCAATGTACAGAAATGGGATGTAACAGTGTTAGAACTGAGCTACCACAAACGGCACTTGGACAGGCCTGTATTTCTACGCTTCTGGGAAACCTTGGACAGGTACGTGCCTTGTTGAAAATCTTTTACARTCTTTTTTTGTAAGTTACATATAATAAGTTATAGAAATTACTATAATAAATGAATGCTCTAAGTGATGCACCTTTGCAGTATAATGTGTGTGGATTTAAAGGAGGAGTAGTTGCTGTTAAACATTAATTAGCAGAGTGATCGCCCATGTCCTTTTACACAGAAGGAAAGGAATAGAGAATAATGCAGTAGTGCAGAGTTTTTCTTTTACTGTGGACTACGGTTCAGGGCTTAAGAGCTCTGCTTTCTCACTCCACCTCGCTTTAATGRCAGTCTAAAATGGGTGAGCAAGTGCTTTAAGATAGGAGAGGCCTGGAGTATAATCTTGCCCTGATGCTCCTGAGTCCACAGTACCCGACAGAGGAGGAGAGAGGTTAAAGCAGGTGTGACGCATAAGGAGTTTTGGACTCCTGCTCCTTTGGCTGTAATGTTGGGAGCCATCCAAGTACTTAGCACCATCGTTCCTGAGAAGTGAGGGTATCACAAGCAGTTCTGCAACGAGAGCAGTGCAGCTTCTGACCCTGTTTCTTGCAGGCTCAGCAGCCTCTCTGCAGAGGATGTTTCTTGTAATACCTCTCATCTTGTACAGAAGGAGCTTTCTTATCATGAAACGGTTGAAGAAATATTGGGGGAAGGGGAGAAATTTATATTTATTGAACCTTAATTTTTTTCATGTTGATTCCATAGAAAGCTGTGTGAATGATTAAGAGTGAACTTGAAAAAGAAAAATCCTACAGGAATTGTCTAAATTCAGAACATCAGATTTCCTGTGGCTTCTGTTCTAAAATTATATATCTGAATTTCCAGAATTAACTGGAGTTTTCTTTAGCTGCAGTCCTTTGATATTAGAAATCACGTGATGGCTTGGACCAAATGAACTAACTTGGGGGAAAAAGACTTTAGATGACCCTCCTCTAGTAAGTTTAGATATTGTGCATAGTATAGAGCTGAACAGTGTATATAACATATCACATCCATTCTGCAACTTGTTAATGCTCCAAGAGATTTTAGCAGTATGTCTTCTGTGTGGCATTATTACTGAGAATACAATTTCCGTAACTGCCAAAGGAATAGTAATGTTGTTTTCTGTTAATTTTGCAGGTATATGGTAAAGCACAAATCTCACTTGAGATTCTGAATCCTTCGGCTGCCATATACTTACTGGAGTATGGATTGCGAAAAATGGAAGAGGCTCCAGTTTGGAGACCAGGGCTCGCACTATWGGATTTGTCAAGAACTTTACAAATGAAGAAGGGTCACAGTTTAAACTTTTTATAAAATCTTGTTTGGATGCTTCATGCTATGGCAGGTTGATACCTGTTGTTATTCAGAAGCAAAGGGGTTTTGCTTAAAACTATTTTTTTAATAATGTTAGCCTACTAGTCTGCAATCCAAATTGTATATTTTGATAGCAGCAGTTTCTCCTCTGTTTTGTTAAATTAGCCACATTTTTAAAAATGTGTTTTGTTCTTCTTTAGAAAATAGGTTGCTCTTCAATGCAGGTTACAAAGTGTGTGTGCGTGTGCGCATGTGCGCACATTTGTGTGTATATATGTATGTGTGTGTGTGTCTATATATTATATRTATATTAAAAAATTATAGACACACTTACGCACACATAGATGTTACCAAGGCTTTCTGAACCACTTAGCTTCTTAGCTTAGTTTTGGTTTCCTTTGCTTCTTGTTTCACTTACTGAGAATATTTTGTTGTGACTGATACTGCATTTTAGTCGATAGGCCTTGCAAACTGAGCAAAGTGAAGATCGTTTTGGATTACTCAGTGTCAACCTGTATATGTATATTCTGTCAGTCTTTGTTGAAAAAGGGATGATGAAAAATCAAGAACCACTTTTTTGGATTTGTAATGTCCCGATTTACTAAATCTTCAGACTTTATTATGAATACCTTTCGAGTCATGTTAACATTAAATCTTCATTCTTCACACAGGTTGTTTTATTTAAATTGAAAGAGTGCATGTGTACATTCCCACTTATCAAATTACCTTTCTATATGAGTCTAAATGTTACCCAGATGAAACACTGAATAGAAATAGTTTGGATTATTTTTTCCTGGAAAAGCCACCATGAGGAATGAATTCAACTTCTTTACATTTATACTTCTGATATCATCTCCACCATGTTTTTCTTATGATAAAAGTAGCCCAGACTATATCCAGGCATTGTAATTTGCTGATCTGAGTGACTCATTGGTGCTCCAACATCCTTGCATTAGAACAGAAAAGCAGACAGTTTACTGGTTACCAAAGAGCAGATCTGCTCATCTACAGTATGAGCTAGAAAACCCTGGTATTTATATGAATTTTGATAATTGGGTGTCACATAGCAGTCAATATACAGAATGATCAAATACTTTAATACCTGCATGGATATTTCTGGGTTAGAAAATACACATTTATATTCCTGTTGTTGAAAATCAAAACCATGTTTTTTTAATATACTTTACAGTTAAGGCTTGACGGAAGTAAAATGTTCTGTCTATTCTTCTTTAGTATTGCTTTTTATTTGATGTTACCTTCGATTTTAATAAACTGGAAGGCACATCTCCTTCAGAGGCTTTCTAAATGGTCTTAAACTTGAGGACTGTGAGTTATGGGGGATTTGGGTGATATATTTTCATCCCTGCTGTACCAAGACTACTGTTTTTAAATTTAGTCAATTGTCTTAACGGAGACTTAAATAAGAAAAAGAGAAAGAAACAAAGAGAAGGAAAAAGATCCAAAAGAATAACCAAGATTGGAAGAAGCTCACACTGGATTTTTGATTGAGTTCTGCAAAGTGACTGAGAGGCACTTTGAAGACTAAGACGACAGCATCACAGGACGTGTTTAGTGTATGTTAAAAGTTCCCATAATTCGTAACAGGAATTTGGTCTGTGGAAATGTTTGCTTGTTTTTGTTTTTCCCAGTACTTCAGCATATTAAAAATGTATCCATGTACGTGTGAATGAGCTACAACATCCAGTGCTTTGTTTTAAGCTGGGCTGTAATTAGAACAACTGTAATTGGTATCAACATAAGTCACTAGCATGAGGAAATGTTGTAACATTATATGTTTTTTTGGTTGTTATTCTTTTTTCCACTTTAAATAGCGTGGTATCATACCTGTGGTGCTGAAATACTTCCAGGGAGAAAAGTAGTCTTTTTTTTTTCTTTCTTTATTTCTTTTTTCCCCGAATTAATTGCTACTTTATGTACATGTTGTTTTACAGAAGCTGTTGTGGGGAAGAGCAAACTTGCAAAGGAAGTTTTGAAGGAAAGTGTGCTCTACACACACTACAAGATAGAGACTATTCAATGTTCTTAAAATAGGCAAAGTCCAGTTATCTTTTTATTTCCTACCTTTCACATGTATTTTAAGAGCATATGTAATCCTAAATCCAATGAATTGAGGAGACAACCTCATTTAGATACAATCCTTCCATATGCTGGGAGTAACTCCCCTAAAACTCATGAATTTACATGGATGTGAAGCTGGCAGAAGAGCAAAATCCATGAAATCTCTGCATGAACTGGGACATTTTCTATGGATTCAGCTCAAATCTTTTCTGTATATGCAAAAAGTTTACAAGTTGGAAAATGCTTATTTGTGAAGGAAACGTCACCTGATTGTGCATCTTGGTTTTGTCAGTCATAGAAACAGCAATGTTTGTGAAATGAGCCATTTGGCAATTGGGTTCCTGCTGACATTAGTGGAAGCTGATTTAGGGTTCAGAGCTAGTTTGGTCTCGGAATTAGATTGGAGACCTAGGAGAAGAGCTTTCCTGTTGCCTTCCTTGAATATCTGCACAGAGATTATGAAACTACTGGATTTAAATATATAGCTTTATAGCAGCATTTTGCAGCACAGCTGGGTTTTTACACACTATGTTCTACGCTAATTTATCTACARGTTAACATAGAATAATAAAGAAAACCAATACAAAGAAACGGAGAAGCTGTAGGACCAGCCATCTGTTTTAATGGGCTGCCTTCTTATGTTGAGCAAACGTGATACTCTGCTGAGAAGTGCGTAAAGTGTAAAGTGTTCACAATTAAAATATGTAAGTAAAGCTCTTAGCTGTTTGACCGACTGCAGTTTATTGAATAGCTGAATGATACTGGCATTGGGAAGCAGATATCAAATAAAACACTAAAGCATCACAACTCTGTGCTGTTTTCTAAGTACTAAAGCAAGATGAAAACTGGCTTGAAGTCTGTCACTGGGATTGGGAACTGTCAGCAGCTCGTTWTTTCTGGTGGCAGCAAAAATGCAGGAGTCAGAAGAGATGTTGGAAAAACTGATTTTATATTAAAAACTGAAATAACTGAGTTTATACTGCTCGAGCTTTCTGAGTGCTGCTGTTCTGAGCAAAGCGGACAAGGTAAAAGTTGTAAGAGAATGTAGGACAACTGGTTTCTGTAATGGACTTGTGTACCTGAAGGATTTTCAGGTCAGCATCTTCAGCTGAGAGGGCCTCGCGATGTCTTGATGACCTGGAGGTTTTTGTAGCGGAGTGATTTCACAAACATGCACCGAAAACGGTGCTCGAGCTAGACAATTTATAGAGCTATTCTAAAATGCTAGAAACCTTTTTATTTTTGAACACAGAAGACAATTTAGATAGTGGATTGTGTGTTAAGCTGCCCTTGATCATGAGCTCAACTCATTATGTGAGATTTGTCAGATAAGCCTTTATCTGAAAACAAATTCGGCTTTACCTTTGCTTTGGTATGCAATTGGTGTATAAAATACTGTCATTCTCTGCAGGAACCTGCAAAAATAAGTTTTATTAGTTTAGCCTTCATTCTTTTGCTGGTGAAATAGGCACTAAGTTACAAATTTTTGCAAACACTGTATAGAAAATAGAAGCTGGTCAAAATTGATGGCTTAGATAGTGATTTTAAAATTTAATGTCATGAGTGCATTTTAATTCAAAAGCCATAACTAATGCCAAGTACTTTATTAGAGCAATGCGTTCATGAAAAATTAAAAATCCCTGCCTGGAGAAACTGCTGGCCAAGTAGGTTACAGTTCAGCTCATCTGTGGAAAACGTGGAAAATCTGAATGTCATTGAGTTGTTGGTTTGTTACTTAATTGATTTTTTTCAGCTTTGCTTTCATTTTCTGAATAGAAAGAGACTTCAGGAGCACTTGCATAGTGTATTTTTCTTCACTGTGTTTTCAGTGTTGTGTGTTTTTTACCTTCAGACTGTTAACRGGCGATAACAGTGTTTGAGGCAATGATGAGTTTGTGTGACCATRTTTAAGTGAAGTTCTTATGCTTGTCGAGTAGATGGTTTCCCAATGGACCTCTCCTCTAGATKTCTGCCACTGACTTCTCTGCAGGTGACTCTTCTTGCACTGAYGATGCTACTATGGAGCATAAGTTTGGGAATAATGAGATTGAATCGAGCCCAAGGCGTTTTGGTAGGTAGTACACAGTGGTAGGCTGTGCTTCTGGACTGCTTTGCTGAATTTGTTTTTCTTCAAACAAATTTTATAAGATGTTTATATATAAAAATGCAAAGAACAATCTCAAACATTTGAAACTAGTGCACAGATGTTTCGCATGTAAAACTGACAGATAAGGTGATACATAAAATCTCTAAGAAAAATATCATGGTTTATGGCTTTTATTTGCATCTATAAATTTATTTTTGCTCTAGTTTTGGTTTAGTTCAAAGTAGGAAAAAAAAAATGGCTCCCTGAGGTTCCTGCGTGCAGCACTGAAAGCTGCCAGATGTAAATCTTCAGCTGCTGATGCCTGAAGGTTTGGTAGAAAGGGCTTGTAAATGGTAAATTCTCCTAACTTTTGTCAGTGGGTCAAGAATTTACCTTTGCCTTTTTTTTTTTAAATTTTTTTATTTTTTTTTTATTTTTTTTATTTTTTTTTGAAGCTTCAAGTTAAAATCGATTTTTTGAGAACCTGATGGGAAAAGCCACCGCTGAATGAAAGGAAATGAAAAATTTGTGGTGAGGCTAAGCCTTTAACCTGCTGCAGAACTCTCTTAAACACTGCTGAATGATTGCTTTGGTTACTCTAAAACGTTTTTGAGGCTTCTGCCACTTGACCTACTGCTTAAGACCTAGACTATACAATTGAAATTTTTGTGGAGTTRATAGTATAGTATCAGATCAATTCCGTCTTTTGAAAAGTGTTACAGAAAATGTTTGGGGGACAATTTTAAAGATGGAACGTCTTTCCTTTAGGAGTAGTCAATATAGTCTTGAGAGAAGAAACAAAAGAAGCCCTTTTCTTGTTCCTGTCGGTCTAGACTATAGTTCTATGGTACTGARTGCTTGTATCAGCAAAATATGGTTCTGAAAAATACAACTTAAAATTCTGCAAAATTTCATTTCACTTATTTCTGCTCCCTTGAAGTTCAATCTAGGAGACCCCTCCAACCCATTATCCTCCTTTCTGACTTTGGAACTTTCGGTTTTGGAACCATTGTAGTGAAGCTGTGAGTTTTTGAAACACTTAAGATGAACTTGCAGCCTTCCCTGTGTTRTTATACCTCTACTTAGTCTCCATGCCTGACCTATGGTAATGAAGTGCATTAGAGCTCATTATTTAGTGAAACAAAAATAACTCTCTCTGTAAAAGGCCAAAAATAGCCTTTTTTTTTTTTACCACCTTAATTCTGAAAAATGTCATCTTTGTGGTAAAGGTAAGAGAGGGAGGTAAACTTGTGAGTGTGTCTAGTATTCCTGCTTTGAGAAAGCCAGGAGGAGAGCATGTGTGGTGTAATAGGGCAAGGGACTGTATTTTAATTTCTTCAATAGTCGGGGTTGCTTTATAATGCAGAATAAGGGAGATAAAAACATTTTCTTAAACTTTCTTAAGTTGTTGCTAATATATATTACAYTTTGAAGGTCTTAAACAGCAGAGTTCTCCCTGCTACAACAGGTATGTCTTGGGAGCAAAACGATGGAAGACTGTCCTGAGCTCTGTCAATCTTCACCTGGAATCTTAAGGGTTCTCAGYGCTAAATTGTCTGGTGGTCTTTGCTCAGCAGCTGACAAATGGCTTGCCAGCACCACACTGGCTTCTTTTCGTACTGATTTTGTGTGAGGCACGTCATTCTCTTTAACAAAATTGAGACGTGTGGAAAATTAAACGACGCAGGCTTTTTACAAGCTACTGAATGTTTGTGCTGGCTAGAAGTATTTCCAATTTAATTAGAATTGTGAAGTGACCCCCAGCACCTCATACTAAAATCAAGAGACTGGGTTTGATCACTTTCTACAACTATGAAATAGAAATAAATTTTGCAGTATGTCCTGGAAGGTCTGATGTTCACCAACAGGATCATGGAGCTGAATGGTATCTGACTGGCTGCCTCTTCCCAGGCAGTGGGACATCTCAGTTCACTTCTGTCTCAAGTGTTCTTACTCACTGCAATCACTGCAGTGTTTATGAGCAAGAAGGTGTTTTTCACGTATTTAARTGCTGCCTTCTGTGGAAGTTTTGACTTTTCACGTATCACGAGGGAAATGAGGTGATGATGCTACCCAGTTTTGTGCTGGATGCTTGGAAATGGCAAAYATTTCTTTCCTGTGTAACCAAGCTATATGGCATCTGCTGAATGGAAGAAACGGTAGGTCTGTAGAGCACTCTTCGTTCTGGTGTTCTGGGGAAAGGTGTAATGAGTTTTTTAATGCTAATCGACTGCTRCAGGTCTGTGCCTCTTGGTTTTAACGTTTAACCCCCATAAAGGAAATAGAATTCTTTAGCATTGCTCCACTAGTTCATGAAATAAATGTCTCTGCTGAAGATCCTGCCAATAACACAATGAAGCATTAGAGTGGAAGATGAATTTAATTTGTCCAGAGTGTCTTGTATAACCGCTTTATATTCTGTGTATTTTTCAATCTTCCGTCTCCCTAACTTTGTTTAAATTCACTTGTCGCAGTTTGTATGAAACTTAGATTGCAAATTCCACTGAAGAGAGGTCTTTCTTGTTCTATAATAAAACTCGTATGAAAAGGCCTCTATGTTTAATACATGACAGAAGTAATTAGTCTGGTCTAGAAAAGCTGCTAAAAAGGGAATAATGGAATTAAAGAAGCATAAAAATACATAGGCAGCTAAAGCTTCCTAAAGTTCAATTAGTGAACTGAGGTATTTGTCCAGCTACTCATTGGGAAGGACATAAAGAATAAATTTACTGTACTTCATACAGTGGGTTAATACCCAAAATGACCTTCCCCTTGATCTTGTTTTAGCTTTATCAAGTGAAACTTCTGCAGATTGGCTCAATGATGTAAAATAGTCCTCTCTTGAATTTGATTATCTTACTTTTTATCTTTTCTGCAGCTTTGGGCAGCACTTAATCTATTCATCTGGCTTCCTGTTCCCCCTGATACCAAGGCGCTTGGATAATCTTRTAACTACAGAATTAGTACAGTTATTTCTATGTTTATATAAACTTTCTTTATCTGCTGTSAAGAAATGTGCAGCTCATGATATGYTTTATAAACTTCTATATTGCTGCTGTTTTGACGCACCCAAATAAGAGGGCAGTGCTCTCCATATGCTGCAATTTTTTACCAAACAGAAATTTGACATAAGGCAATAATCAGTGTGTAGCTAAGTTCCATAAGACTGACAGGTAAGGAAAACTCTAGTAATTTGCCTCATGTGCAATTTTTTTCTTTTTACTGTCTTGAATGGAAACTCAAGCAGGCTCTGCTCTGACCATTCCTAAAAGAAAGAAATGGTCTCTCAGAAACTTAGCAGAACAAAAATTGGCTAACTGCACTGAGTATGTCAGGGATTCTTCCTTTAACAGGGGATGGCTTGGAAATGCTCAGAAACACTTGGAAAGTGATCTCATCCTTTACAGAGACTGCAAGTCAAAATGGTACTAAATTTGCCACCATTAGA